AAGGTATGTTTTCAATGTTTTAATTGATATGTTGGCTAAAGGGCGCATGGTGTTAATATCAAATACGTTTATAAAATACCTTAAATGTTCGGGAAATTAGTGATCGAGAGACTTCACGAAGCATACAGAAAACATTCTCATTACGAAAATGGGAAGCAGTAAGTCAGTCTTCAGTTGATAAGAGTGACAGTCAGAGTTAAATACTTAGATCAGTGTTAGCTACTGCGTATATTCAGTTAGTAGTGAGTAAATTTCTGTTGAATTTTAAGGTGAAAATGTTCTTTGTGAAGTTAGGCCTATCACTACGACTGTGTACTAGTCTGCAGGTTAAAGAAGAAATGAATTAATTATTTTATCGTTACGTGAACTGAATTTGGCCTTATTTTCACCAAATAATTTAAAAGAACGAACTCAACGAAAGAACAATGCTACAACATCTAGTAGTGTTAGGCATGGCTCATCCCATATAAAATTGATATTAATTCCACATTTGGTTAAGAGTGGCCATATAACTTGATAAATGGTGGGTACTATTGACTGGTTGTCATCCCTTTGCTCGTTGCATAATATTCAAATTACTCAAATTATATATGTTTAACAATGATATTTATCATTAGTGGTAAACATTGTTATGTATTGGGCTTTTACAGATTGCTTTACGAAATGACAGATGACTCAGCAACTCGATTGCGAAATAAAACCAATTTATTTTAGAACTAAAACAATTCAGTAATATCTTATATTATGAATTTTGGTGGGAAATTAATTTAATACACATAATTAGTGATCAGAGAAAGAGTTACATATTGTTACGACAGCGGAAGTCACGTGACGCTGCTGGCGCATGCGTGACTGAGTTTCTCGAATTATCGCGGAAGTCCGCGAATTTTGGAGATGCCTCTTCGTCAGTATATAAGCCTGGCAGAGAAAAGCCAGGGGATGATAAAGCGAACAGTAGTCACGGTGAGTTTCGGGTAATTTACGATTCTGTTTCGAACTAGTGTGTGTTTTGCACTCATAGAGAGCAAAGTTATCGAGATTGTGAATCGCTGTGATTTATGGCGTGTATTAGAAAAGTTGTTAAGTTTAAAATGACGAGAAACGTACTGACTGTGGATTTACTGTGTACTAAAAGTTTGTATCAAGAAAGAAGAAACTGGTTTAATCAAGAAAGGACTTGTATCGCTGATGTTCATCGGAAAGAATTTCTACCGGAAATTAACAAACAAGCAGATACGTAACAATATCTTAAAAATTGTCTATTGAATAATTTAGGAGAGTAAGTTAGTAGCATTAATTCTACATAGCTATGTAAATATAGCTTCACTGTGGTGAGTAAAGGATATCTTAAACAGCAGACATATAAATATAACTCAAATATTGTATTCTTGCAGAACAACTTACTAACATTTCACACTGCTCGGCATTTTTTTTTTTTCAATATAGACACGTTTCTACGCTGAGCCCAGCGTATTCTATTAGAAGAGCTTGGAAGGGCTGTTCTGATTCAATTGTGCCTTGTTTTACCTCTCTAACAGTTTTCAAAATAAACACCGTGCTGTGGTATCTTAATTCCCTGAATTCTCTTTGACATTGTTCGCAGCCTAAACTTACCTCCACTAAAATGTTTTGTGGATTGTTAAAAATTTCTCAATTTTTGTTATAATACAAAAACAGAGAATGAAAAACAACTTTTTGAATGATAATAGCAATTTTATTTGAAATAGGGACAGGTAGAAAAATTAATAACATACATATTTCACACACATTCTTAACTGACTCGGGTTATTTCCAGTTATTAGGATGTTTTTAGTTTTTTGCATTCCATCTATCCTATCACTAAAACATAAGCAAAAAATGCCATTTATTTTTTGACATAAATGTATTCATATTACAAACTTTTTAGCGGTAAAAATGTACTGGGGCAGAAGTCGGAATTACAAAAAGCTATGGAGAAGGTAAAAGATGACCAAAAGAAAAAAGAAATGGACCAATTATGCATCAACAAACGCAGTTCTTTAGAAAAACGCCTTGAAGCACAAGCTGATAAACTTCAACAGGTAAGAATGCATCTTTTATGGTCACCTTAGATTAAATGGTTTTTAATGTTACATGAATGTGGCTAAAGCAAAGTTCGAATATAAAAATTCATGATAGTTAAACCAACTCGCTTAACATATACATGATATTACAGACTACTGAAAAGAAACAGTCTGAGAAAATTAGCTCATGCTTCCTCATAAAATGGATCCCTTTAATAAGAATCAAATTTTACTCAGTAACCGTTTGTGTTGGAAACAGACTCTCATATGATTACTAAAGCTACCCTTTCGCGGGCCTTGTTTAAATTATAGACGGCCATATACCATGATTGTAGTAAAGTTTGTCCAAGAAGTTTTAAATCGGGGGTGGGGTCATGTGACCACTTCAATATTCTAAAAAGTTGAAAAAATTCATTCTCTTATTATTATTTTGTAGATAAATACTTGACTTTCATGTACATCACTTAAATTCTTTGAGTAGAAGAAAAGGTCCGTATTTTTTTAAAGATTGTTTGTTATGGATTTCACGAAAAGCTACACGAGGGCTATCTGCACTAGCCATTTCTAATTTAGCAGTGTAAGACTAGAGGAAAGGCAGCTAGTCATCACCACCCACCGCCAACTCTTGGGCTACTCTTTTACCAACGAATAGTGGGATTGATCGTCACAATATAATGCCCCCACGGCTGAAAGGGTGAGCATGTTTGGTGTGATGGGGAATCGAACCCGCGACCCACAGATTGCATTTTTTAAAGAAAAAGAGCCCCCTTACACTCTTCAGTGCTGCCTGTGCCCCTGCTGGATATTGATATATTTAGATAAAAAAAAAAGAGGATACATAGCTAACAAACATTAATCTTATTCTAAGATTCACTGAGAGCACAATTTAAAATGATTTGCTTTCCTATCTTTAGCATGAAGAAAAAAGCAATATGAAAACTGAAGCAACTGAATCAGAATTTCACCAAGTACATTCCAAAGTGTGTCCCCAGGTGCAACCTGTTGAATCTAATTCTTGACAGCAGCATTGGTCAACCACAAATTTATCAGGCATTTACAAATTTTTAGAAATATAGCCTTAAGATATGGATTAGTGATGCTTACTAGATTAAGCTCAAACTTTGATAATTGGCTGTCTTTTATATGCCTCTTGAGAAGGTGTAAAAGCATCTTTTGAATTTGATGTTCTTTTTCATTATTTTGTTGGAGTGTTTAATATCTTATGTTTTCATGAGCATTGATTATTGGGTACATTATAAGTTACTTGACTGTGATAGATATCAGATACCAATAAACACGTGTGAACTAGAAGAATGCACCGTGAAATAAACTAGGAGTTTACTATTCATTATCTGAAAATAGTTGCACAATTAAAAGATTGAAAATAAAATATTATAAAAAAAACTTTAATGGTATCATTAATCTACATGTATCTCAGTAAACAGCTGAGCAGATTTTATACTTAAAATGCTAAATTTACAATTCATTCACGTGACATAATTGCTATCAATAATTTATATTACTTTAGTTTCTTAATCAAAAAGAAACGACTAACATGATAATGATTTTAACAAGTTACGGCATCAAATACAGAGGCAAAACCTATTGAAATAATTAAGAACTTTATCACTGTTTTGCATTCTCCAGCATTTGATATTTACATCTATAACAATTATCATTCATAGAACAATATCTTCCTCAGCTTTGAGCCTATGCCTTTAACCACTTATCATCCATGGAAGTGTGTTTTTTATTACTGTAACAATGCTTTGACCACAACAAACCAGGCACAAGATATGCGAGACATCTGGCTTATATATATACATATAGAGACGATGTCTAACACCCATAAATATACAGGTGGAGATGATGTCTAGCATGTGTAAATATTTGGGTGGACATGATAAAGGGTTAACAAAAGTAGCTTGCACATGTTCTTCTTGTTGGTTCAGATAATGTAAAACTACTGCAAAAACATGCATTTTACATGCATATAAGACATTTATGTAGTTTTTACAAAGAAGTGTTGTAAACTTCAATTGTTTTTGTCTGGATTTAACAGGAGTCTTGAGGTATGTTACAAATCTATTTGACACCATTAGGTGAAAAGTATTAGAATTTAAATATTTCAGTGAATTAGAAAAAACTGAATGTAAAATAATGTTCACGACGTACTTCAGGTTTACAAAGTTAAGATAAGCCCATGTTCAAAAATATAAAGCCTTTAAGAGAAAGATAAACTCTTATCAGGAGGAATCCCAGTGGTGAATGTATATAACTTTTGAACATAATCAAGCCAAAAATTCAAATAAAACTAAACTTAACATACATTATGGGAAGTCAATTTAATACCCAGTATCTTGAAAATTAAGATGAATTATTAGCTTAACATGATTTAAAACAGAACCCTATGAATAGTCATAAATAAAGAAGTTTCTAGTTATAAAACAAGTAACAATTTATAAAGTGAACTAACTTTAATATTTGGCCTTAACTCACGAATGAAGGCTTTGTTAATCATTAGCTATTGTTAAGACCTGAAAATAATTTGAATGGATGACTACTTCATTATAACCTAGGATGTACTTTATTGGCATCAACAGGTTTTCCTATAGTAGAACTGATTTAACCTTGCTTGCAGTATGGACAGGTAAATCGATAAACTGCATTTGATGTTTTCAATGAAGAAAAACAGTCTTTATATCTGAAGAAATACTGTAGACAACATTCTGGTTTAAAATGCATCTCAGTTGTAAGTATATAACAGAGTCAATCAACCAAATTTGTTAAAACTTCACCAAGATGTACTGACACTAGACAAATAAAATCATAAAGATATCTAATAAAATTAAAGAAAGTATGATTTGTTTTGAATTTCGTGCAAAGCTATACGAGGGCTATTTGTGTTAGCCATCCCTAATTTAGCAGTGAAAGACTAGAGGGAAGGCAGCTAGTTATCACCACCCACTACCAACTCTTGGGCTAATCTTTTACCAACGAATAGTGGGATTGACTATCATACTATAAGGTCCCCATGGCTGAAAGTGCAAGCATGTTTGGTGGGAAAGGAATTTTGAACCTGCAACCCTCAGAGTGCAAGTCAAGAGCCCTAACCACCAGGCCATTAAAAGAAAGATAATTTGTTAACTCAGATGCAATACTCAGAGATAAAGATTTGAAGTTGTCTGGAGATGTTTTTATGTCCTTCCTAAAGTATATTAAGAAGGACATTTATTAAGACCTGTAGTTTAAAATATTGGAACTTATAATCATGTCTTGGAGGGGTATTTAGTTGGTTTTTTGAAGAATTATGCTTCTAATGAAAGACAGTTTTAAATTTTGTAATGAAATATGAAATGTAATGTTTGATAGTAAAGTTTATTGTTGTAGTTTTGACATATAGTCCTTGTATACTAAATCTATTTGGAAGAGATAATACTGATTCAATGTTTAATGATAATTTCAATGAGTTATGCATTCCAAGATATGTATTTTCAAAGTTATTGAAGTTTGTAACTAAGAGATAACATTTTTTTATTCAATGGTATTCTTTATGATCAGATTAATGATGTAGCTATTGGTTCCAGATTGACTCCTTCACTAGCTAATCTTTTTTCTTTGTTTTCATGAAAAGCAATGGTTGAAGGATTGTGCAGTCTTTTTAAACTATTATATTTTTGGAGACACAGGTATGATACCTTTACTACTTTCAAAGACCCAGATTCTGTTTCTAAATTTTTGGAGTATTTAAATAGCAAACATAAGAATATTAAATTTACTGTTGAACATCAGCATAATCATGAACTTGCATTTTTAGACACATTATTTCATAATTGTGATAGTAACTTGTGAAGTTTACTAGCAAACAAAAACAAACAAACCAGTTTTAGTTTAATTTTACAATTGGTATACCAACTGTATTTAAAGGACACTTTGTGAATATCTTACTTCATCATGTATATAGAATCTCAAGCACTTAATGAATTTTGGTACAAAAAGTTTCACAGCATCAGGAGAGTTTTTTTATGAATATGACTTTGCTATCTATTTGATTGATCAAATAATTTATGAATATTTGAACAACTGGAACTTCATTAAACTATCATATATATATATACATTTCTGTGTATGTTAAAAACAACTTTGCACCCAACTTTAGTGTAGATGCACAACAGAAATACATTTTTAATTCAAAATATCATCTGCAGTATTTCTTCAGATGTAAAGATTGCATATTTTCAATTGAAAACATCACAAGTAGTTTAACAATTCACCTGTCCTTGTTGTAACTAAAGTTACATCAGTTCTACTACAAGAAAGCTGCTTACATAAATGAAAGAATGTACAAATTTAAAAACACTAGTGAGTATGATGTAATCACCTATTCAAATGATTTTAAGATCTTAACAAGAGCCAATGATAAACAAAGGCTCCTTATAATGGAGAGCTTAGTCATTAGAAGCTGAAAATTAATTAAGTTAATTCACCATATAAACTGCTGCTTGTTTTATAACAGAACCTTATTAGAGGGTTTAGACAAGATTTGCATCAATTAATCATTTTTTTATGTGAACATTGTATTAATTTTTAGAAATAAAAATCTTATGAAGTTGAAGTCAGGCTAGAATATTAAATTTTACTATTATTTTATCAATAAAAATTGTTTTAATATTTTTAAATCACTGTGCATTATAGGCTAAGCCTTGTAAAAATGAATCCAATACTCACCTGGTATTCTGCCATCGTTCAACCATTAACAGAATAGAATAAACATATTATGAAACTACTCAACTGGTCAAAACTGTTTTAGGAGATGGCACACTTAAAGAAATAACTCTGTTTAGTTGTTACTCTAGTTTTAGAAGTTTTCCAGTTAAACCACGCAGAATTCAAGAAAACAGATATTTTTGAGTTTTTACTTTATCAAAGTCTAATTACTGTCACAAAGTTTCTAAAATTATCATAAATCAGGTAGTAGGTTCATTATGTTTTATTTGCAAATGACAAAACAAAAGTTTCTATAACTCAATACTTTATTGTCTTTGTACAATTAAAGAAATAGAATAACATCAAAGGAAACCTAGTTCTAACTATTATTCTGAGTAGAAAAGGGTTAAATTTCATTCATGAACAAACTTATTTTACATATGTATGGAGTTAAATGTGTTATTAAACTCTTCACTGTAAACTTATAGAATGAGGTCACTCATACATTACAGAGGGAATAACATCCTTGGCAGATATACATTATTAACTTTTAAAACATTTTCTTCCCCCTTTTCTGATTCAGCTTCACAGAGACCCAACATGAATGGTTTTGACTCCATCATCAATATCTTCTCCCCAATGATAAATGTTCATTTCCAACATACTATAACACGTGCATCTTTCTCCACTTTCTCATCAAGTTCTCTATAACTGAGGCCTACAGAAATTTGGAGAAATTTCAGGAAGGGAAAAGTTAGTTTTGTAATAAATCATAAATTAATGTATATGTTCTCTAGCAGAAACGTGAGTTTAATGCATGATAATAAAAGAAACATAAAGTAGACAATTCTAGAAACTATTTATCAAGATAAACTTGGTGTAAAACACAATATCACAAGAAAAAAACTTTATATGTAGAAGCCTCAAATGGCCATTAGTCAACTAATAAGGCTTTCAAATTACTTATAGACTAAAGTATATATTTTTCTTATGGTTGTATGTTTTTAAAATAGGAAAAAACCACAAAACAAACCGAGAGATCATACATGTAAAATTTGCATGATTCGGATTAAATATTCCCTTTTGCTGTTTGTGCTCAATTTTACATTTTGGCAAAAGCAAAATACTTTTCATTTGCAATTATGGCTGATAGAAAAAATAAATTGTGGTAGGCAGGAATACAATGCATTTCCTACCCTCTTAGTTGTTATATACAATTTTTCAAACTTCTGTGCACATTCAGTATTTTGACTTAATAGAGAAAGTCAGTCAACAAGAGCATCACTTCACTCCCTTGTAGAAAAGATTGTGGTAAAATAGCACATGTATTATATTGAAAGCCACAGTAATCTTCTCTACTGAAAAGTTGTGTGACATTTCATGGTTGTCCCTGATTTTGAAATGAGAGTGACCATCATTTACATGGGTAGTACATGTACTCTAAGAAGAATGGCAAATGTTGTACATAATACCGTATTTTCACAGTCTGTAACAACTTTAAGTAGAAGTGAACTCAATTTTTGTACACAACTTTAAACCTTACAACTTTTGACAGAACTTCCAATAACTAAAACTTCAACTTGAACTATTTAGCTTTCATGTAACTTAACATGACATCTCTCTCCATTAAAGTCACCATACCTGCACTCATCTTTTACTTTGATTGAAATAAAGACTGATTTAGTGTGCAAACTTGTGTCCAGTCTCTTTTTTGTGTGTGTCAGAGTGAGAGAAAGATGTTTCATCTGCAATGCATTTTTTGGCAAGATTCCCAGTTATCCTGCAGTTCCTACCCAATAATTCTAAGGGAAATCAGTGAATTGGAGAATACCACAAAAAAAAAAAAAAATACAGCAAAGGTTGAAGATTCTTAAATGAATTTCACACACTGTAGCTGTATCATAATCACTATATGCATTCATAGGCCACACCAACATCATTGCCATACAAAACAAATTAGAAGAGACAAAACTATAAAAAGGTCATAGTGTATACAAATCTGTTATTGTCTATTGAATGATATGGTACCTAAAAGGAATCAAACAAAATTTTATGGTGTAATTAATCAAACACAACAGTGTACAGTTCTGCACCATATTTAGGTTGTATCATTATTTAGGTAAACATGCATCAATAAAATCTTGTAATTAAGTTATTTCAGCAGTAATTTTTTATATGCCGTTAAATAACTAAAAACCAGTTGTGCTTATGATTTATACTTTTTTGTGTAAATAGTTATGAAACTGACACTGCACACACAACTGTTCCTGTGGTACACTAAATTTTGGTTACTGAACTCAATGATGTGGCTGCTGCTAATTTTCTATCTGTAGCCAAAGTGGCTACCGGCTTTCAAGAGTCAAATCTTAACCCTGATTAGGAACAACTTCATAGTTTATTGTGAAAATGAATAATTAATTAATTTTAGATTAACAGTTTAATAGTGATGTTGATACACCAGTGTGTTACAAACTCTTAAACACTTTATAGTTTTATTCTTCGGTGGTGTTAAAAATTAACATATACCTTTATATATAAATCCTGAGAATACCACAAAATTAATATGGTACAGGTAGAACATTTTTGAATGAATTTCGTATATTGTATAGCTGTATTATAATCACTATAAGCAATCATAGGCTATATACACAATTATATATTGTGGATACCCTGATATACAAAAAAGTAGGTTAAAAAAAAATTAAAGAGCCAGAAGACAGCATAAGATTGAAGAGGACACAAATGTGTCAAAACTAATTTATCTAATTCCAAGTTTTCTGATAGGTTGTTTTATTTACTGTGGATTTTCATTAACTGTTGCACACAATACTGTATTCTTTTATTACTTTATTAGCTAGAGGTTTTTGATTTGACTGTCACATTTGGTAGCACATCAATAGCCAATGCTAGCAGTTGAAGTTGCATAGGAATGATGATGCCCTGTTACATTTTCCTGCACTGAAAATGTATTTCCAATAGGTTCTTACCTACGCTCACATAATAGCTTTTCCTGACTTGTAATGCCCCTACATGTGTAAATTTTCACTCACCACTAGCCTCGATACTATTACCCACCCACACGTTTTCACGAGGCAGCTGTGTGATAGCATGAGATAGCCCTCCACCAATAGGAGTGCGACACAACCCCTAGCTGACTCCCTCTATACAGCTTAGCTCAACTTTACTTCAAGATTGAGCAACATAAGAAGAAAAGACACTGGAAGTGGGGACAAAACGTAGAAAGAGTGAGAAGAGATAAGAATATATTAGAAATAGATTTTCAGTGTAGGCAAACATTAACTTCCAATACGATACCTTACTTCTTCTTACATAACAGCTAGAATCCCACACTGACCTGGTTGAGAAACCAGTGTAATATTACCCAGATAAGCCTCCTTCAGGAAGTACCCAAAAGAAACTTGAGATGCATGAATAAAGAGTATGGAAGACTGCATCACTTCTGAGCCAGATATACGTTTTGTCCATGAAAATTATGTGTCACAAAAAAATGGCAGAAATCACAGGAGGAACTCCATAAATTAAATGAAGGGACTTCTGATATAGAATGGCTATGGCACAGCGAATCATAAGGGGGAGTTCATCCTCAACCAACACCATCATTCCCCTGATAAGAATATCCGGCCCATGGTAGCAATGACAAAAAACTAAAAACAGTCCACTTTCACTCTTATGTGAAGGAGTAGTCATACTTTTAGAATGATAGTTCATGTGACTTTTTGTATAGGCATGTGCAAAAATTTTGGTCAAAATTGAGTGGTTTCATTTTAATAACTTTGCACACGTGGCTTATATTTAGACCAAATTTCACACGTCATTGTAGGTTGTAAAGATCTATCAGTATACCAAATTTGAGAAACATCCATAAAAGGAAAACTTCAATCAAAATTGGAAGTTTTATATCTTATGTATTCTTTATAGGATTGCCTTGAAATTTGGTATGTGAAGTAAGGGTCCACTAGAGGACATCCACTGAAATTTGTGATAGTTTGGATGACCATAGTCTGAGTTACAGAAAGTGGAAAATTGCTAAACTATCACTCCTGTTAATAACACAGTGTGTCCTGCAGGTTGTTTTGGCCACATATCACACTACTGTGTGTCTATCTCTAACTAGTCTAGTAATGTATTATGTCTGAAGGATTAGTAAGAATTGAACTAATGGATAAACTATTAAATGTGTTTGAAGAATTAATGAGTATTTGAGAAGAATTATTAAAGGAATACCCAGATAGTGAAGGTAAAGATCTATATATACAATATATGAATGTGTTAAATTAAACATATATTTATGCATTACCTAGTCTGTGAATGATTTATTTATTCTTTATACAAACTTACTTGAGTTTGTGGCTTGTGAACCTTACCCACAACTGCATGAAAGCATCCTCATAACAAATAACTCTATTTGTAACGAGTGTGAATCAAACCCACGACTTATGGTACCTGTTACAGTTCTAAGCTGTTGTTTTAATAGGATCCTCAAGGGTTTCTGGTAGCTATGCAGATTGTGGTGTCAATGGCAATTTTTCCATCTGCATAGCTTCAGATTTCAAGGTCAAAACTCCAAGAGTTAATGGATAGTTGAGCAAATTATCAAGATTTGTCACCAGGAACAAAGTGTCTTCTTTATCAGTGTGCAGTTAGAGGTCAGACTTGTTACAGTATAGAATTAGCTGTTTACATGCTCACACAATGTATGGAATCCCAAAGCTATTGGCCGAACTGTCATTTTATGATAACTTGCATTATGTATATGTCATGATATAAAAGACTGTTTGGTTTAAATATTAGTGATTAATTTATAAGTAAATACTTTATTATATTTAAGTTTTGTTATAATAAGAGTTAAAAGCAGATGATTGTAGAAGGTTTTGTTAATAACTAATTGGCGTCGAGAATATAGAAAGTGGCCAGACGACTATGTAATAAAGATATAAATAGTGTGAGACGAGGAGGAAGCAGCATACAGACAACAATAGACAGATAATAGCAAAAGAGAATATAGCTGTGTGAAGTTAAGTACCATAGATGTGATAGGCCTAATGTTTAATATGTTAGAGTGAAACTAACAGTATAAAGAAAAATAAGATGGATAATTTTGTTCCATCAAAGCATGGATCTAAAGTAATTGAATCAGCCTGGATACACTTTGACAAAAGGAAAGAAGACCAAACGAATTATGGTAACTTGTGCCACAACTGTAAGTGAATCGCACACAGAATACTAGTATGATAGTAATACAGAGAGAAGATAGTTCAACTTGTCAAGTGAAATTCTAAAGTAATTGAATAGGCCTAAGTGGACTTTTGACAAGAAGAGAACTATTCATAAATAGTGTTTATGATATACCTGTAATCTCTATAGTGTGAAGACTTTGTTGTACATACGTTTAACTTGTTCCAAATATACGTATATAATATTTGAAAACAAGTAAAGTGTGTGCTGTTTATTCATCGTTGAATTTATCACTA